CTTCTAAATAATTCCCCTCTGCCCCAGCCTTTAGGAAAAATCTAAACTGGACTGGCACTGTATTTACTATAGTATTGTTAAACAAGATCCCATACCTAATTTCTTCTTTAATCCAGAATAATAGAATAATAATATAATACAGATGCAAAGAAGACTCATAATGGAAAACAAGAATAACACAGAAAGACCTTGCTTGAACTGTTGTGTCTGAACTTGGAGACATATGTGACATATAAAATCCATGTACAATGTGTATAATGTATATACAATGATTCAGAATAATATTTTGTAAAAGGTGTACTTTTTGGTTTTCATTTGTATCTATACATTTCGTATTATAATACTAATTAATAGAATGTTTTTGCACACTGAAGACATTATGCTGGATCTGCACTACTGGATCTGGGAGCACCTTCTGGTTGCCTTTTTCAGCTGCAAGCCTCAGTGCTACGTAGGGTCAAGTATATAGAAACTACACCTGTTTTTTATTTCCAACCCTCACATTTTCATTTCCATGCAAAGAAAGCACTTCTGCAGGCTCTGAAACGGATCAGCAGTACATTCTAATAGATAATTTAAGTCCAACCATAGAGAAGGTAGTCAAACATAAATCACTTGATTCATACACATTTCAGTTTTCACTTCTGCTCATGCTAATGATCATGGATTATTAATCCCTTACAGCTAGCCCTAATCATTTGGGTTATTTTAATTACTTAAAACTGAAGTAATTTCACAATGATGAATTTTAATATTTTAAGGTTGAAAATCTCATATGTTTTATGACATATAGACATTTCAGATATATACATACTCATATTGAGAGAAAAGGAATTTTCAGCTGTTTGCTATCTATGAAATGTAGGGAGTGTTCTCCTGAAGAATTAAAATAGATTGGAAGGAAAATACAGGTTGTGAAAAGAACATGCTCTTAAAAAGTGGAAAGACAAATTGGCAAGCTGACTTGATACATATGTTTCTTCTGAAAGCTCTCAGAAGTCCTGTCACAGCTCCTTAACTCTGCAGGACTCGGAGCACCATTTTGTGAATGGTACTGTGGGCCAATGTTTTGTCTTGAAAATTACAAGCAGATAATAAGCATAGTGTATCTAAATGCCTTCACATTTGCAATGCGAAAAGAGCTGCCTGGTAACTTTCACCCTTTGGTGGTGGCTGTGGCACTAGATCCTTCTCTTCCAACTAGGAAGGGCCAGCAGCAGGAGGTTGACCTCCGAGTGGGCAGCTGATCGCCTGCCATAATGAAGGAAAGCAAATCAGAAGCTACAAGAGACCCTGGCACCAACTGCAGCATCTTTTTGTGCAGCACCCCATGTGAAGTGATGCAGATAGTGTGGTGTAATTGGGCTAGGAATTAACATCCTTCTGCAATCAGCAGAATAGTTAACTTTCAGCAGTTTGGGGGGGGGGGAAGTGTTGTATGTGCAAATTCAAACAGCTGCCACTGCCTAGTCATAGGCTAAAGCTTCTCAAATACGTTTATTAGAAACCACAATTTACAAATGCAGAAATTTACATGTCATCACAAAATTATGACAGCCATCAACCTAGAATATTCCAACTAATAATTCTTTCCTAATTGTCTGGTCTTAAATGAATGTGGCAGATGAGGTTCTGCTAGAAGGGAAAAAAAAAAGAATTGGGGCATGCCGCTAGTGAGCTTGTTCATGAAGTTTTTAAAATCTTTGCTAAGTTTGGAGACAACATGATATACAATACTCACAGCTGATATGCAGATTTTGAGTTTTTTAAACAATTTTCATTAATACAGCCTTACAAACTGCTGTTTTATAAAGCAGTATACAATATATGAAGTATAGTATGATGTTCCTGCCTGCCTTTGGGTGGATATCTCTAGGCATTGCTTTGCTTTTTAGTGGTAAACTCTTGCTGCTGCAGTGTACCCCTACATCATAGTGCCAGAAGCAATTCATGCCTTAGTTTCCCTTTTCTTGGAAGCACTTTCCAGACTTACTACCACTAACTGCTCATTATAGGTCACCATTAATCCCACACAGTCACATTACCAGAAATGCTGTGTTGATTTTTATGGAATAAATGCACTTGGAATTACAGCTACTGTGACAACACTAGACTAAACAATGAAATTTCTTCCAGGATTTTGATTAGCAAGAGTGGGCTTCCGGTAGCACGCTAGTAACCTCCTCAAGCAGACACTTCCCTTCAAGTTAACAGAGTCAGCAAGTAAGGTCTCTTACACACGCAAGCACGCTTCAACAGCTGGGTTTGCAAACACAGCTGTGCAAGTCTCCAGGAACTTGTTCCATGTTAACCTAGCTCCAGAGCTACTTAGAGGATACCACAAAACATAAGACAGCAAAAGCTGAAAATTTCAGAGTCCAGTCAGATAATGTGTTCTGCCATCCCCACCCCGCCCAAGCCTCACGAGTGATCTACATCTCAGTCTTAACCTTGAGTCAACCACCAACACAATTCATACCGTGCTACCTAATCCCAGGTAGGAACTAGACCTCTCTCACCTTTTAACCTTCAGCAGTGAGGATGCAATGGAAGCTGTCAAATGAGCAGTGACCTCTAAGACTGATGCTGAAGAACCTCCCATGCTCAAGGCTTGCAGAACCTAGGCTGTAAAAATATTCACAGGATGAGATTTAATGTGTTAGCACATGCAAGGAGACTTCACCTTCTATCATGAACTTTAGAACATCTTTTGTGCTTGCTTTGAGCTAGCGGTCAGTAACAACACTCAGTATAAATGGTCAATGAAACTGAAAGATCACTGACAACTCTCTGCATAAACAATCACATTGAAAATAGTATTTGGAATGCAATGTAAATTAATATATTACTTCAACTTCACTTTGCCTTGTCAATTTTTGTGCAGCAGTGTTAGTAAGCGAACTGCTCATTTCTAAAACAAGCAAGACCTATTTACTCCTGTAGTACAGTAGGCAAGTGATAAAGCTTTGAGGTTTTAATACAATCCACAAAATGCATGTTTTTCTGTTATTTTAAATTTGGGCTATTTTTAAATTTGAAATTGAGATATATTTTTCTCTATAAAAGAAGGCTGGTAGGTATTTGGTGTTGGAGTTGCTTGTCAGACTAACAGTTTTTATAGGTTAGATCCTGAAGGAAAAAAATTCATCCTTGCATAAAGGAATGCACCACTTAAAGCTTTAGGCAGAGCTTTAATAGTCCATGCGGCTTAGTGCAATCCATTAGTTTGAGTTAATTTTAACTAAGGTGATTAGCAACTCAGTAATAATTAATTAGGAAGAAAAAAGTATTTTTTACAGTTCCTTAGGGCAAAGGAAATGAAACTGAGTAGGGTGAAGCTTAAAATAATGAAAAGGCCAATTCATTTTCATATTGGACTTCAGTACAGCTTATTAATTGTACAGTCTCACACAGTGCTTCCCAGCTCAGATTTGTACTGCGGCATCTTCCAGATTTGCAACCTCTCTGCCAGTGAGTAAATCACTGTAAAAATACTTTGCTTTTTAGTGTTACACTCTTGCTGTTGCAGTAATATATGCCTAGATCACAGTGCCAGGAGCAATTCCGACCTTAGTTTTGCTTTCTTTGGCAGAGCAATAGCAGCTTTGTCCAGGGTTTTCACCACCTCTAACCACTGATTATATATAGGCACTGGCTTCATACACCAAGATACCAAGAAAGGTTCTGTTAAAATGAAATTGATGAAAAGAAACGCACTTAGAAAGGCATCGGCATGACTTGCCCCCATGCAACACTAAACAATGAAGTTTCTTTCTGGATTTTAATTAGTAAGACCATGGTTTCCATACGGGGGTAGCAAATGCTTTAGAAGAGCCATGTAAAAACCTGGAAGTAAATAAAGGCAGCTGAAAATAACCATATGAAGGCTTTTGGAGCTGAAACTGAGTGATCATGCAAGTCAAACTTAGAAAAACCTCTTATTTAAAGAACAAGTATTACTTTGGGTCTGTAGAAGGCTACGTAAGCCTTCTTTCAGGAAGGAAGAAGGAACAGCTAAAATTAATTCTGAGTTAATCATTATGAATGAGGCCACTTTCCCGGTTATGATCAAACAGGTAAGAGAGGATTTTACTTAGGTTTTTCTCTCTCTAGTCTCTCAAGACGCAAAGCAGCTCATCAGCTACAGGTCAGCCCTAATTGCTGTCCTGGATTTGGGGTCACTTCCCTGACATAAGCTGCTTTTGACTTGTCTTGTCGGGTTCACCTACCTCCTATATCCCTTTCATGTGCTGGGTCATCCCACTGGTTTACTGCACCCTTTAGATTTCTAACCTAACCCTAACACAATCTTTGGATTTGATCTTTGACTGATAGATCTTATTTGAAATAGTCTAGCCCCCATCTGCTGTTTGTTACAGCATCTTACTTTTAGTTACATTTGATCTGTATGCCATAGTTATTACAAAATAATTACACTGAATTTCTTAAACAGCAGTTCACTTATTAGGGGGTGGGAACCATCTCAAATCATGTTTCATTCCCTTCACTGTTAACAAACCTGGCTTGGGAATCCTGAGTTTATCAAGAGCCGATGCTTACGTCTGAGGTAAAATAAAAGGCTCCGGCCATTTATGGCTTGTTTATTCCTCCCTGGCTTTCTCCACGGCTGAAGTATTTTGTCACTTCACAGCAAGGGCTGCAGTCGAGGTCCCCCAAGGACGCGGTGACTCCCTCACACCAGCTCCCCTCGCTCTGGTTCTAAGGCGGGTCGCCATTTTCAGCACCCGAAAAACAGCGGCAGCGGCGGGTCCCACCAACAACTCCGGGGGCAGAACCGCGGGCCTTCACTCCCCTCAGGTGCGAGGCG